TTTTAATTATCTTCGTTATTACTATTGTTATATTAGTTTAATTTTTACTTGTACATTCTGTAAATCATTGAAATATATCAATATAATATAAATAATATTTGTTAATGTATATATTATGATCTTTTATATAATTTATTCTATTTCATATAAAATTCCGGAATAAATGATTTATTCAAAATCCCCAAAGTCAATCATAAACTAAGAATAAACAATACAATGTTAATAAAATAAACCAAATGAAAAAAAGAATCAACAATCACTCACCATGAACAATACCATACAACAGCGTCCAAAACAACACATACGAAAACATGCCGCCAAACACACCCTCAGTCCATACATCACTCCCACTCTTAAAATATAAGGCGGGTTTAGCCTTGGTTTTCACGGTCCAAATAAGCACCGACATGAATAGTGAAGTGGCCGCGTAGAATAGGAATCCGCTGTACCCGGTTAGACCGAGCACTCCGGCAGCGGAGCCTGTTATTGCGGATAAAGAGGATCGTATGAATGTGATGGTTTTGATATTGTGTGCAATGTTTTCTGATACGTATAGAGAGGCTATTGCGGCGGGAGTTTGTTGTGCTGTTGTCGACATTTTAGAAGTACTAAATCATAGTCGGGACGCCAAATTCTGGAACTGCCGATCTTATGTTGTAACAATCTGACCAATCAGTGCTCTTGCTTTCAAATTTTTATAACCACTAAATTTAAATTACCAAGTACGTGTATATAGAATGCATTTGCTAAGTCACTTGAGTGGCGTGTGATTTTTGCTTGCCACGTTACTCGAGTCCCTGAGGGCCATGGTCCGAATGAGCACAAAGAGCTCTAGCATTTTATACATTATTTGAATGACATGTGATTTATGAATGCCAAGTCACTTGAAACATCAAGGCACAATGTGCTGATACAATAAGAGCTCTAGTCCAAATGGATATAAAGCATTCTATATTGCAATTCATTTCTCATCTCAATAATATAAATTACTTGAAACTACATGCTGTATATAAAATATAAAATCTCTAAGCCTATTCTTAATTGTCTTATATATTGGAATTCAACTTGATGAATTGATATTTCTCATATTTTTCATATTATTTGATAATTATATTTTTACATTTTTATTGGATAATTAATAACAATTATTTCAATTAGGATTTTGAAAAAAAGTCTGGTTCAGTTTGAACTTGAATTGAACTTGAATTTGATCAAAAATCTGATTTGAAAATTTGAATTCAATTAAAAATTTGGTTTAAGTACAGTTTAAATTTTGAATTAAATTCAAACTTGATTAAAATTTAGTTTGAGTTCAAGTAAATATTCAAAAAAATTCTAAATAAAGTTATAAATTATAATCAAATTACAAATTCGTATAAGATAATTAAGG